CCAGCAAGGGAGGCCAGAGGGGTAGGAAGCTCTGGAAGGGCCTGTGGGAGGTTGCTGAAGTCCTGCGGTCACAGAATGAAATGGTAAGAGGGCAAACATCTAGACTGCAGCAGGGTTACCCCCAAATTATGGATCCAAACATTCGTTTCTAGTCTCTCTTAAATGTAACCATCCAAATTAAAACAAAACAAAAACCACCAACAAAATAATCAACAGCCAACAGTGAGGTAAGGGCTCACTGTGAGGTTAAACTGCATGAGCCCGGTAATGAAATATAGTCAGTACTTCAGGAGCTCCAGGCATCTGCTCCCACCCCAAACTCACCAGGACTAATTGCAAACAAGGCAGTTCTTTATCTGCCCCTTCCTTCCAGGCCTGACGTAAGGCTACACTTGAGACAAGACTGCAACACTAGTATCAGCTGCGCTCCTACTGAAGGAGCTCGGCACACTGATTGAGAAAAACACAGCAGATTTCCCTAGACTCCCTCACGATTCAGTCCAACCTTGGCCTAGTTGTGCTTTGCAACGCCAGGGAAGAGCTGGCTGCCGGCCACCCGGCACCACTTGCTGCACGGAGCACTCGAACGCTCTGTGCCCCCGGCCAAGCTGTGGGGCAGCACGTCCCCTTCCCAGCAAGGGCAGGGGGGCCAAGGTGTTCGCTGCAGCAGCAAAAACCCCAGTTTAGGACCATTCTGAACCGGCTTCTCTTGCGCTCTGCACATTCAGCAAAACAAATGTGCTGACTTCAAGCATGCACAGAAAAGCATCTGGAAGCTATCCAAAATATCCTCTGCTTGAATATAATCACAAAAGTGAAGCACCAGTCTAGTGAGGTAAACACTTAGAAACTTTACCAAAGACTAAGCTTCAGGTCCACAAAACTTCAGGTCATGTGTGCAGACAGCTAGCAGACACGAACCAAGCCCAAAGACCAAAAAATGTCAAAACATGCAACCCAGCTAAGCAACCACTGAATGAACAGCCCCCAGAAATCCAGGAATTGACACTGGACCAACACGGGCTTTGCTCTTCCTGAAGTCTATTCAAGTTCATGGCAGGGTCTAGTGACGTCCTGGGCCTCACGTGCAGTTTATATCCACTCCACTTAACCATACTGGGCAGGAGGAGGAACCACTGACGCCACCAAAACCAGCCACCTCTTTGCTGCCTTCTGCTGACTGTAGGGGATGGCTCCTGTTTCAAAAGATGTGGCCACCAAGGAAAAAGAAGTTCAGCAAGAAACACCGAGCTCATCCTGCAACAGCTTCTCTCCTCCCTTGCTGCGACAGCCAACACTTGGAAGACTCCAGGGACAAAGCAGAGTTGATCTCAACTCTGATCTACATATCTATCCTTTTCTTTTCCTCCTTCTTAGGAATGACACAGAACTTTCGCTTACTGCAAGTATGTTTAAACACTTAAAACTCTAAGCTCTAAGATGGACAACAAGCAGCAGGCAACCCAGGACTGACCTACAAAGGTAATTCCGCTCTT